TTTTTCCTTCTGGGTAGATACCCAGTAATGGGATTGCAGGATCAAATGGGAGGTCTAGCTTGAGTTCTTTGAAGGTTCTCCATACTTCCTTCCAAAAAGGTTGTACTAGTTTGCAGTCCCATCAATAGTGTAAAAGTGTTCCTTTTTCTCCACATCTATGCCAGCAACTGCAGTGTTGAGACTTTGTGATGTGGGCCGTACTCTCTGGGGGGTTAGATGGTATCTCTGGGTGGTTTTCATTTGCATTTCTCTAATAATTAGGGACGATGAGCATTTTTTCATATGTTTCCTAGCTATTTATCTGTCTTCCTTAGAGAAGGTTCTATTCATCTCTCCTGCCCGTTGATATATGGGATTGTTGGCTTTTTTCATGTGGATTAACTTAAATTCTCTATAGATCCTAGTTATCAAGCTTTTATCTGATTCAAATATGCAAATATCCTTTCCTATTCTGTAGGTTATCTATTGGCTTTGGTTGTTGTCTCCTTAGCTGTACAGAAGCTTTTCAGTTTAATTAAGTCCCATTTGTTTATTTTTGTTGTTGCCATTGGCATGGAAGGCTTCTTCATAATGTATTTCCCCAGGCTGATACCTTCCAGTGTTTTTCCTATGCTTTCTTTGAGGATTTTTATCATTTCATGCCTTAAATTTAAGTCCTTTATTCATCTTGAATCAATTTTTGTGGTGGAGAAAGGTGTGGGTCCAGTTTCAGTCTTTTACATGTGGATATCCAGTTCTCCCAGCACCATTTATTGAATAGGGAGTCTTTTCTCCCAGTGTATGTTCTTGTTTGGTTTATCGAAGATTAGATGGTTATAAGATGTTAGTTTCATTTCCTGGTTTTCTAATTGATTCCAGATGTCTATGTCTCAATTTTTGTGCCAGTACCATGCTGTCTTGACCATTATGGCCGTGTAGTGCAGCCTAAAATCTGGTATGCTGATGCCCCGGCTTTGTTTTTATTACTAAGAACTGCCTTAGCTATACGGGTTTTTTTTCTGGTTCCATACAAAACGCAGAATCATTTTTTCCAAGTCTCAGAAAGTTCAATGTTGGTATTTTAATAGGGATGGCATTGAATCTGTAGATTACTTTGGGACGTATAGACATTTTAACAATGTTGATTCTTCCCAGCCATGAGTATGGTATGTTCTTCCATTGTTAATATCCTCTGCTATTTTCTTTCTTAGGGTTTCATAATTTTGTTTATAGTGGCCCTTCACCTTTTCTGTTAAGTATATTCCTAGATATTTCATTTTCTTTGAAGCTATGGTGAAGGGAGTTGTGTCCTAATTAGCCTCTCATCTTGGCTGTTATTGGCGTATACAAAGGCAACTGACTTGTGGATATTGATTTTATAAACCTGAGACATTACTGTATTTTTCGATGACTTCCAGGAGACTTGCAGTTGAGTCTTTGGGGATCTCTGATCATATCGTCATCGAAGAGGCAGAGTTTGACCTCCTCTTCTCCCATTTGGGTACCCTTTATTTCCTTGTCTTGCCTAATTCTGTTGGCTAGAGCTTACAGCACTATGTTAAATAGTAATGGCGACAGAGGACAACCTTGTCTGGTTCCAGTTCTGAGTGGAAAAGCTTTCAGTTTTGCTCCATTCAGTAAAATATTAGCTGTGGGTTTGTCATAGATAGCTTTGATCAGTTTAAGAAATGTGCCACCTATGCGTATCGGAAAGGATGCTGGATTTTATTGAATGTTTTTTCTGCATCTATTGAGAGGATCATATGGTCTTTGTTTTTGCTTCTGTTGATATGGTGAATAACACTTATGGACTTGTGTATGTTAAACCAGCCTTGAATCCCTGGGATGAAACCTATTTGATCATGATGTATGACTTTTTTGATGATAAGCTGTAACCTATTGGCTAGGATTTTGTTAAGAATTTTTGCATCTATATTTATTAGTGAAATTGGTCTAAAGTTCTCCTTTTTACTTGAGTCTTTTCTTGGTTTTGGTATCAGGGTGATGTTTGCTTTGTAGAACGTGTTGGGGAAGATTCCTT